ACTTGTGTCATCTGTGTAACAGCCCACATTTGATGTGGTATGATCATAACTTAAGTGGACTGTGTACCACCCCATATTAGCTGTGGTATAATCTCATATCGTATGTCATCTGTTTACCAGCCGCATTTGCTGTAAGTCAATTGTGAGTCGACCACACGTCCCAGAAGTCGTATTGCGCCACTCTAATATAGCAAAGTACCAACCTCAGATTCACAGCAACGTACTACGTCAAGTGTAAGATAAAGATACTTGAACGTCCCACACCTGTGTGACTTCTCACGTTGGGATATTTGAGCTCTTTTAACATACCCAGTGCCATAACTCAAAAGGACAGCTGCAGTAGGTTACGCATTACCAATTCGTTTTCAACTATAAAGTAAGAGCACATTAATGTAATTGCTATTGACACCAAAGAAACTGAAGACATCAAGGAATACTAACTGATACTGTTTCCTGTCAGTATCTTACACCTTATTTGCATGACTATCAATCGTAAACTCAGAAACAGAAACTCAATTGTTTCTCCTTTGGATAATATATTTTTCCACGTATTTACACGTTAACTGGTTGTTAAAATGTGGTCTGATTTGTGTAATGGGACATTTAGACATCGATGTTATATTCATATTTACACACTAGTAAATAAGTTATCATGTATCTGCTTAGCTGTTATCAAGGGAACGGCTTACATCTAAGACAACCGTCTAGCCTTCTTTCATCATTACTGATGTATATTTTATAGCTGTAGAATAGTGCTTAAAAAGCAGGTCTGATGTGGAGATAAACACATGGCAATAACATTCAGGAGTGTCGTACGGCGGGGAATAGTGAAAACGCTGTTTTCTCGTGATGAATTATGTCCTCTGTTTACCCAGAAGTCGTATTGCCCCACTCTATTATAGCATAGTACCAACCTTAGATACACAACAATGCTATGCATCAATGCAATAGTAAGAAACGGCTTTTTGAACGACCAACGACTGTGTGCCTCCTCCTCCCTTAGGGGTATTTGGGCTCAACGCACCTGCCAAGGATGAATGTTTAATTAGTGCAAACCCTCAAGTCAACATGGCGACATGAAATTTCTATTGGCACGGAACGAACTGAAGACATTTGGGAATACTAATTAATGCTGTTCCTTGTCAGCATCTTACAGTTTGACGGTTGGGTTACATGGTATTTTTCACGTGAATTGGCTGTTTAAATGTGGTCGGTGTTTCTCAGACTATTGAATAAGTAAGCACATACCCTTAGGTTGTTATCAAGGGATGGCCTAGTCACTCTTTCACTTTTTTCTGATCGAGTGTTTTCATAGCTGTAGAATAGTGCTTTGAGAGGTCTGATGTGGAGATACACAAATAGCAACATGACAGCATAAGTGTCTCCAGGAGTCATGGGTGAACAGTCCAACGTTTAATAATACTTTACTGTTTGATTGTATTAATCTCGCCGAACCATAAACATGTTCAGTGTCCTCAGCAAAACGTACACAGCCAATACAATCGATATACACTTGCAATAACTTGTGCATTGACAAATCCTATATTCAAACAGACGCCCTGGTACACAAACGAAACGAAGAAACTCCCTTGCACTGAGAAAGATAACAAGACGGGTATTGTTCTCGCACTTTAGTAGTTAACCAGGGGTACATGAAATGAAATGTTGTCTAATTGAAATGTATTACTTTGTGTTTAAACCGCCAGCCTATATGGCTATAGGGGCATGATTTCATGTCAAGTCAAATCAGGGCCAAATATCACAATAAATCAAAATAATACAAATATGTCTAGATATGTCTAAATATGTTCTTGGCTTGTTGAAACTTCGTCTCAGATGAAAGTTTTTCAGCTTCTGTGTCAAATGCCACATCAAAGTTCTTCCTTGCCTTTCTCTTGTCACTACCATATATTTTCACACTACCATCACTAAGCCTCTTCTTGCTTTTTCCAGTCGGAGTATTAGTGATGTCGGTCAGCACATCCATGATAAATTTGATTGCTGAACCTTTACTAACAGACAACCATGTGATGGAAATAAAACATGTGCTCAGAATGGAATGGACTTCAAATTTGCCAGATAAAGTTATAAGTAGACTACGGTTATAACGAACTCGATGGGATCACTAATTTTAGTTCGTAATAACCGTAGTTCGTTATAAGCATACATACAGCATAGATACAACAAATGGTCGGGACTTAAAATAAGTTCGATATATCAGTCAGTTCGTTATAAGCGTGTTCGTTATAAACGTAGTTTACTATACAAGCAATGGGAGATGGGTTGGGGCGAGTGATTCACTTATGACTCATTATTTGACCAATCAGCAGCAGCCTGGTAAGAAGCTTGACCCAGAACAAATTTGAAGATTATGCCTACAAGAAGTGCTGAAGATAACACTGCCAAACTCTGGTTGAAGAATATACTGCCATACATTGTTGAAGACACCCTAGAAATGTTCAACTGTCAGGACACCATGAGTTGAAAAAAAGTTATCTCTAATCATCAATGAGGAGGACAAAGAATCCACGGAAGAATTCATGCGCCAACTGAATATAGAAATCTGTATGCAAGATGAGCGTAGCATCCCTTATTGTTTCAATTAACATAAACATATAAGATAAATGGTTTTAAATTCATGACCAAATTTCTGGAAGAGTATATTTCACATAATAATTCATACTTATTCTGTACCTAATCCATTATTGTTAGTCAGGTGACTTTTCCGTTACGGGTGACTTGACTTTGCATGTGTTTATGACGGGTGGTACTAATGGGGCAGGATACACTTTTTCTCGAACATCTGGTATCATGACTATTTGATTCAAACACATGCTCAAAGATATAGTCGGAATCGTACATTATACTGTTTTCTTTTGTTTTAAGTGCATCTGTAACGTGACCTTTGGACTACTCTACAGGATAAGTTGAAATGGTTGAAATTAGTGTCCAAAGTGTATGAAGTATCCTTGTAGGATTTTCCAGTTCTGTTCAAGTTTGTATTTTCCACAACTGGTTGTATTTAAACTCTTGGTCGAAGATAGTACTGCCGTCTGAACAGAAAATGTTCCGGGAGATTTCGACGTGTCATGTCCTCTATTGCAGACAAGAGTTCTTGAACCCTATCCTCTTTTTCAGAGATTGAAGAATCATTGTCCAAAAATATACACGGACGTTTACTTACTATGTTCCTCATAGAAGTAGGCAACTGTTGAATGAATAAATCAGGTGACATACCGTTAGAGAACATATCATTTGATCTAGTAAACACAAAAACCAAATAGTTCTCAATGTTGACGCCAAACACTTTGATCATGTTGATTATCATATCTGCCGTTGTTTCGTCAGTTTGCCCAACTTGCGTCACAAGGAGTATGGCATGAGGAGCATTACTCATGTTTTCATTCAGATAGATATTTGGTGCTTCCCCGTAAATGTGTGGTGTGTCCAAGACCTCTATGTCTCTGTTCAGACGAACACATTTTTCTTTTTGAAAGTTTCTTGTCACACTGATAGCCCTTGTAGCGGATTCAAACACTGGTTTTCCAAGTATGGTATTTCCTGTTGCACTTTTACCACTCCCAGTTTTACCAACAAGTATCAGCCGTAATGTGTCATCCATTGTGCTCTAAAATACAACAATAAGCGTCAGTATCGAGTCAGAGGAGATTTTTGGTGGTTTGGGGATATCGAGGATAAGCAAAACGTCTTTGCAGAAAAAAATGTCACCAACTACACACAATTGTATGAATGACACTTTGAGGCAACATTTTAATTATTTTCGTGTTGGTTTATGTTCATATAATTATCTCAATTTACAGAAGAATAGGAGCCCACACGTACGAATTATGATTTAAGAAATTAGATTGTTTAAATCTATATTTCGTTGTTATTTAAACTGCTACAGATCCAGAAAAGCATGTCATTCAAGCAACGATTCTGTCGTTCACCTTATTGAATATTTCCGTAAAGTTGTCATTTGTATTATAAACGGTAGCCTGTATTAATATTTGGACGAAATTAAGAAACTCAAATCAATTATCCAGTAACATCTTTTGTTACTGAGCCATGGCAATAGTAATGTGAGTACCCATATAATTGCTTCCTCTGATTCCTAAAATCAATAGAGCCGTGAAGATCCGTGGTAGAATATGTCTTCAGCAACCCATGCTTGCCGTAAAAGGTGACTATGCTTGCCGTAAAAGGCGACTAACGGGATCAGGTGGTCGGGCTCGCTGACTTTGTTGATGCATGTCATCGTATTCCAATTGCGTGGATTGATGCTCATGATGTCAATCACTGGATTGTCTGGTCCAGACTCGAGTATTTGCAGGCCGCCGTCATATAGCTGGAATATTGCTGAGTGCGGCGTTAAACAACCAACCAACCAACCGTAAATCAATAAAATCGTACACAATGTGAAATAGTACTTGTCTCCATCTAAATTATGATACAGTTTTCCTGTACAAGTTTTTCATTAGGTATTGGTGGACATTATTATATTAAGAGCAATTTCATATGTAAATGTTGGAAGTTCGGGACATGTCAAGGTGAAGGAGTGGTGCGTTTTCCAAGTGCATGTGATAGTCACGATCTTGTGAACAGACAATCCTGGTACGCAATAACTACATATTATAAAAGTTGAGAACATTTTTATACACAAAAACCCACACGGACGTCAGATGTATGTCACTGATGAACTAGTGAGTGAGTATGGTTTTACACCGCTTTTAGCAATATTTTAGCAATATCACAGCGGGGGACACATTATACCCATGTCGGGATTATAACCCGGGTCTTCGGCGCGACGAGCGAACGCTGTAACTATGCTACCCGACCGCCCTACACTGATGAACTAGGTGGTGTCATATAACTGGATGTGAATAAAGATATCTTACCCAATGAAGTGTGTTCCATGTGAGCCGAGAGTCACTTGCCACATAGTGACTGTAGTGTCGCCTAGTTGTTATTGATTTTAACGAATCACAAGGACACTGAAATGTCACTTCGCTTCCTCATTGGTTCTTACAGTTTAACTTAGTGTTATCACGTCCCGTCAGTTTGCCGCTCACTCAAATTCCCAGCCACTGTACATTATCCACGTAGAGCGTTGGTTATACGTATTGAGGATGTCGCGGAGAAAACGTGAGAAAGAGATGCCACACACAACAAACAAACGTGTAAGTTAAACTGTTACACATAACTGTTTTATAAAAAATATGATATAATGTATCCCCACTGGATAGTCTTCATGTTGAAGATGCAGCAACTTGTCATAATTGGTCAATAGTCACAATAAACATGTTATTGTATGGTTGTACCGGTAATATTGATATTGTTATAATAATTGTACTTAGAAGAAAACGTTTCACGGATGAAAAAAAATAATTTCTGTTATTTTTTAAACAGCCCAAGATGTCTGGTCCAAGAGAGCATATCAAAGGTTGGTGGAATAAATATGTACATGTTACACATCAGGTACGATGAGGTGAAATGGGGTTTAACGTCGCGTCCAAGATTATTGCACTTATATAGCGACGTGCATGCACGTGTGTGTGTGTGTGGCTGATTGTACTAGTCCGGACTGATGCCGATTTATAGTGCTAGCTCACTGAGATACCATGTCGCAGTTTAACATGAACACCCCATTCAGACACAGGAGCCGACCAGTCCTTGTTTTAGCCCTTTAATGTCGAGCGCCAGACAGGATAACAACAAGTACCATCTTTTAACGTCTTTTGGTATGACGCGGCCGGGGATCGAACCCCGGACCTTCCGCTCTCCGGGTGGACGCTCTACCACTAGACCACGGAGGCCTTCTAAGGTACGGTGAGGAATGATCTTTACTCACGTATACTGTTATCCCGGGCGACTACAAGAGCGTGCTCGGGATGTTTACATTTAACTCACTGCCAATCGATTCCTACAGACATCAACAAGTTAGCACCGTGACTAATGACGCTGATACGACAAATTAGGGATGGGGTTAGTAGGTTGGGTATGACGGAGGTGGGGTCGGGGTGGTTGGTTGGTTGGTTGGTATGTTGTTTAACGCCGCACTCAGCAATATTCAAGCTATATGACGGCGGTCTGTAAATAATCGAGTCTGGACCAGACAATCCAGTGACTGATATCATGAGCATCGATCCACGCAATTGGGATCGATGACATGCATCAACCAAGTCAGCGACGACCCGATCCCGTTAGTCGCCTTTTACGACAAGCATAGTCACCTTTTACGGCAAGCATGGGTTGCTGAAGACCTATTCTACCCCGGAATCTTCACGGGTCTACAACAGGCAGGACTACCAGAAGAAGATGGGTCGGGGTGGTGTGGTGGGATGGGGTGTTGAAGCGGAAGGGAGGGTAGGGATCATTTGCATTGGTTTTGGGGTACATGTAAAGCCTGTTTCTTCGTTGAGCGTTCGATTCCATTAACACAAAAGAAGACATTCTCGAACCTTATATCTAAATCGTTTCAGCGAGTAATATACATTTTACATTTCAATATCAATCAACTGTGAAATGAATGTAAGCTTGAAATTAAACTTACCGACGTATGTCTTGTTACATGCTGGAAATTATGCTAATTATGAATGACAAGGACCTCAATAATTGTGGGGTATTGTTGGATATTAACATTACATATACTCATTTTGTCTAAGAAGCGTCGACGATATCGTTTCTATACCTTAGCCTTTCAATTGGATCCTCCTGTCCATCCAAAATTAAATTCACGCAGAACCTTGAGAGTATAGAAGAAAACTAATAGGAATTCAATACCGGAACAACAATTAATAACATATTCCCATTTCTAGTTCAGTCAAGGCTTCTTTATTTGCCTTAAAACTGTTTTGGATATTCAAATGTTTGTGGAAAATATATTTAAAGTGCAGGATGTTTTTGTGTGAGTGTGTTTTTTGTTTAACTAGTAAGTGATAACCCAGATATTATATAGCAAATGCATGTATTCAATAATTGGGCAACCCTGCTCTTCCCAACCACGTGCTTATTACAGTGCGTGCGTGCGTGCGTCCGTGCGTGCGTGCGTGCGTGCGTGCGTGCGTGCGTGCGTGTGCCCTGTGGTTTAAGGCACCGCGATTCGCTGTTCAGAATTGCGTACCAGAAACCTATGATTGTGGGAATTATGCATTTTTGGTGTGAAATACATGTCACGTTGCCATTAATTGAGCCGGGGGTACGGGTTGCCCAGTCGTCTAAGGCGCCGCGGTTCGCTGTGCAGAGTTGCGTCCCTTGGGCACGCCAGAAACCTATGATTCTGGGTTCGAATCCTGGTTCGTCCCGATTATGTTTCTCGGTTTGTCAGCACCATACCCGTGCTCGTGGATTTCACCGAAGTGGTAAACGTCTGACACCAGCATCACTTCGGCCTTTCCTCCCACATTAGGCCGGAAGGTTTTATAACATTGTTATTTAGTTAGCTGCACTGTTGCACTGCATTTTGCGTGTACATAATGTCCTGAACCGGAATTGATACTAGTAAACCGTAAGTGCTTATGACTTTTTTATTTACTATGGCATGGGACTTTCGGTTTCAAAGTTGTACTGTAATTGGCGTATGTGTGATCAGCTGTTACCTGACATGGTATAGTCAAAATGGTTCCTGATTCATGGTTCTGATGTGAAATATTCAAAGCAATTAGGACATGGTGGGTCTGTGTCTGCCTCTGCTCTTGAACCTTTCTAGTTACTCAAATGTTAACAGTAGTCTTTTGTCAAAACCCATATATAAAAACATAGTGAAGACTTCTCTGGAGATCTTAACGCTAAAGAAAAGGGCTACTTAATAAACTGTGACCCCCAGACGGCTAATTTCTACGGACTATCCAAGATCAATAAAAGTAAATCGGTGAATAGCGCTATTGCCGAACAGAATTCGGAGCTCTCCTGATTTGACATTCAGGCTGACTGTCGGAGGATCGAACAGCCCGACGCAGCGCCTTAGTAATCTCGTCGATATTATTTTAAAACCACTAACAAAGCATGTACCGAGTTTTGTAAGGGACGATATAGACTTTCTTTACCACTCCCCGATGCCGAACCTAAAAATGAGTCATCTAGTCACCTTTATATATCCGATTGATGAAACCCCAAGTGAATTCTAGAATGCATTAATACATGTATCCTTTGCTACTACACAAATTCAGTACATTTTGATATTTCACAGTTGTAATTTATGACGTCATAAGTATAACGTCACTCATATGTCATTGTCAGGTACACTGAAGAGCTGTCATGAGAGAACTGATATAAACTGATATAAAGAATATGATGGATTAACTTGGACTTCATTATTTCCTTATATACCCCCCCCCCCCCCCCCCCCCCCCCTTCCTCCCTCTCTCTCTATATATATAAACAAGTGATTCCGTGCTTGTTCAAACTCCTTGGTGTAAAGAAGAGCCGTTCGACGGCGAACGATCTTGTGTGGATAAAGGAGTTTTGACAAGCACGAATTTCTGGAACTGTTTTACATACAAGGTATATAGCCACAAGCATATCTTGTACATAAAAAAACTTGATGGCTTGTTTGCAGATCCATGTCACAATTGTCAAGGCTTTTTGGACAAAAGTCAGAGCTCTCCTGACGTGACATGTCTTCATATCCAGATACATGAAAAGTACAAAGATCTCCTCAAGATACACATCGAAAACTTGTATAGTCATGGATCTTCTTCCGTGGTTCTCAAGTTTGAAGGAAAAAACGTTATCCCAGCAGTCCATGATGTCATTAGAACTACCGAAGAACATCTCAAGAGATTGGATAGTACTGCAGTTGACAAGGGTCTTCGATATACAGTGGAGGGAAAAAAGCTCAGTGGATCAAATGTGATGCTGATAGATATTTCTTGCGCTGTATGTGCGAGGTGCACCTCAGAAGTGAGAAAAGATGCGACGGGACAAGTGTTGAGTATGCACATGGACATAGCAGCCGTCAACAGTAAATCAAAGAAACAGAAAAAAGAAAATCCTAACCTCGATGATGAACGGAGAGCAATTATGAATGGCTTCATACGAAATGTGTGTGCTCTACAAAACGTTTCTGGTGGTGGAAGTATTATTGTACATTTCCTAGGTAAGGACACGGAGGATCCAGGAACATACATTGGAGGGTTTGATGAGATGGTAAATACAAAACTGAATCAACTTTTACCGCCAGGCGAACTATTTGTAAATAACTTCAAAAGGAAACTTTTGAAAGGCAGGGGTTATGTGATAAAGTTTGACGTTGCATCAAGCAGAACATTATCCACTGTGGACATGAAGACCAAACTACCTCTGGACGATTGTCTTCTGGAGCTTGATCTGCCAAGTCTTAGAACATTCATGAGGACTCTGTCACCAAGATGTCAGCAAGAAAGGAACAAGCAACAACTTCAACAACAGAGGGATAATGATCTTGATGATCTGCATGAAAGTAGGCATGTACAGCTGAAGAGGTTTCCTCCTGTCGGGCCTGATGTCAGTCACACAAATGCAGCAGACATAATCTGGGACAACCTGAAGTTAGGTGAAAACATCAGTGCATTTGCCAAACTGGAAGAGGGTGGAACTTATTACTGTGGGATAGCCGAAGAGGTTCGAGAACTAAAACGATATCAAACTAAATATTCAGAAACAAGAGGCATTCCTCTTCCAAACGGACCAACAGGAAATGTGGAAGCCTTTCTGAAGGAGAAGATTGAGAAGGAAATGGTTGCAGTGACTGAACATTTCGATGTTGATAAAATGCAAAACTATTCAAAATCAGTCAACATCAAAGCAGAACCTCATAAGGGAAGGGTGATCCTAGTTGTACATGTACCTGCTTATCGAGGACTTCTTTTTTTTGATAAATGTGGACCTGTGTCATATAGATATGATGATACTGTAGAAATTGTGAGGCGACTTGAGTTAGATGAATGGTGTGACAAAATCAAACAATATACCAACATGTAATGAACAGGTTTCATGCCTCCAAGGCAAATACAATCAATGTTAAGAACAAAAGGTGGACGCTCGATGAAGGTGTTTATGGAATATTTGTGGATTTTTGAAATAAAGACCTTTATCTATATTTACAGTTGCTTATCTTCAAACCAACCAATCATCTTTGATAGTTAATTATCGGTTCTGTAAAGATAATCTCAACTGTGAAATCATGTCAGTCTTCTGGTTCAATTCCAATAAGAAACATTTATAATCGTGAACATTTCGTCTTCCTTGTGTTATATGGTTGAACAATGATTGTAACTATGTTACATTGATTTTTGTTGAGATTTGGTAGACGCTCATTGCATTGTTTGGACAGTGATTAGCCGTCTAGAAGTTTCTATGTTTGGATGCTTGTGTGGTGTGTAAGCTTCCGGTAAACACTGCTGACGAGGATAGTATGTTATAGAAACATATGAAAGTTCAGTAATGTTCTAGTGCTGCTATCTTGCTTGGCTGTGTATATAGTGGGACAAGAGTGTTAACGTATCTCTCATGTATTTCAGGGCCTCGAAACCATCTTTCAAGGATCGCTCATGATCCCTGACTCCCAGTCTAGTCAATCTCGGAAGCTTGATCACTGTCACCGCTGGGTGAATATATGCTCACCGACAAAAAGAAGACTAATACCATACATAATGGTTAATATATAAAGTATTACTCATATTCGCAAAACGAACATACTTTTATGGTGTATGACCCGACGCGCTTGAACACATTGGACGTCGTAGATCCATGACTCATTTTGTCTTCATTGTCTTGTGCAGCATTACGTGTAAAGTTTGGAAATCACGTGCAGCATAAGAATAAAGAAACTGTGTTAAACTTCACTGATTGTTAGTTTTGTCATTAAGGGGTACACATTGGAAACATCTCTTCTTAACGTACATACTTCTCTATGTTTCTATGGTTCGCGTTTGTTTTGGTGGTGAGTATATATTATTAGCACTTACTTTTACTATCACCACTGTATTTTGTATTTGATACTGCACTCTGCCATCATATTATGTATTGTCACTGAATATTGTACTACCACTCTATTGTGTACTGCCATTGTAATAGCTGGGGCGGTCGGGTAGCCTAGTGGTTAAAGCGTTCGCTCGTCACGCCGAAGACCCGGGTTCGATTCCCGACATGGGTACAATGTGTGAAGCCCATTTCTGGTGTCCCCCGCCGCGATATTGCTGGAATATTGCTAAAAGCGGCGTAAAACTATACTCACTCACTCATTGTAATAGCTGTGCAGTAATTTGTATTGATATGTAAACCTAGTAAATTATTGTAATACATTTGTTGATTGTACAGCACTTGTTGTTTGTTTGTTATTTTCACACTGGTTTCAAGGCTAAGATATTGTTTTTATATGGGAATAGACAGGCGACACTTGTTGAAGTTAGTGAATTAATATTCTTGCTATGTCATGATAGTCTGCAAATACTTGTTTGATTTTAGCAACGTCTAACACCATTGGGTATGCATACACACATTCAGGAAGTCACAGAGTCTGACCACAGGTTCCAACACTTTCCCAGAATCCCTACAGAAAAACTGCCAAACTACCTCAAAGACCTCAGAACCTTTTTCCTAAATATGTTCATGTTAATTTCAGGATCAGATACAGACAGTGAAATACACCAGCTGAAATTACCATGCAGTGATCCATTTCCTCCAAGTATCTACTACCTTGGTGACAGTTTCGATGATGCTCAGACATATTTTTCACAAGGTACAGAATAACCAACACTTTACAAGTATTTTCAGACTCTGTGTCTTGCGAATGAATAATATTCTTACAAGATTCAAGCACAGATATTCCGTAATTCTGAGGACCGCCTCCGTGGTCTTGTGGTAGAGTGTCCGCCCGGAGAGCGGAAAGTCCGGGGTTCGATCCACGACCGCGTCATACCAAAAGATGGTACTTGTTGTTACAACAAACTGAACAAACGGATCTATTCAATTACAAATACAAGAAAGCAATTACAAATGAAGCCGATTTTGTTCGAACCTTTTGTCTAATTTCTATGATGTCCAGTTGGTTGATAAACCGTGACATTAAGAGTTCAGACACAGTGATTTCTATTACATAATATGTATATTACATGTTCAGACGAATATACATGAGCTCATTTATTTAAAGATAACTGGTATGTTTTTCATTGAAGGCAACCTGATCTAAGCCTCTGTAACTCGTTGTGTTCGGTGCAACCATTGGTCAAGCTATAATGCGCTGGTCTTCGTTACTGATGCTAGTTTTGTTCCCTTTAAGACTGTTGGTTTGCCTGCTCGCTGTTCATATGTAACTACATACACGTAACTACATAAACCTCTACTTACACAGAGCAAGCAATGCTTCCAGTGAACTTTGTCAGCGCCCTCAAGAAGGAACATCCGCATGTGGTGAAACGAGTGGCAGATTTATTGGAATACAATGGAAGGGGCATTGCTTTATTTGGTCGGTCGCTGGCAATAACCTTAAACTTGCCTTGTCACAAACCGACTGATGTTTTGCAGTGTGACGTATTGATCATCACACAAAAGTGCCTACCTTTTGTTATATCTTTCTCATCGGAAGCAGTTGATGATGCTATTGACAAATATAACGCCGAATTGGCCTATCGCATGAGGGTGATTTTTGGAAAATACACAGCAGAAAGGTTCACTTTTATCTTTTTGGCCACTGAAGAGAAAATATATGGGAAAAAGACCAAATTTCACTCCACTGTCCATAAAAGAAGGTCTACGGTAATTGAATCCTGCTTTCCTGATCAAAAACACATGACCGATTCCAAATTTGAAGGGCTGAAGAATGCTTTAACAGCTACAGCTGCAAGAACAAGTATTCCTATGGCACCTAAAGAGGGGGGAAAGGGATCGTTTTGGGTTTTGATGAAAGAACAGTTTTCAAAGTTACTTAACAATGTTGATCTACGCCAACCATTAGATGTATCTAAAACACTTCATGGGAAAACAGTGTTCATGTTTGAAGCTGCCCTACGACTAGAACGCAGTGGTAAGACACTGCTCATCTGTGACAGCGTGGAGGAAAAGACCAAACAAAAGTAGGTTTGCAGACAACATACTTAATATACTCCATCAGAGCTATTGTAATACTGTATCAGGCATGATATATTAAACTGCATATACTACATTGATTGAGAATTACCAGCACAGACGCTGCTAAAGCAGTCTAACATAAGGAGGTATTCTTCACAATAAACAGGTGTAGAGGCTGGTGCTGATTTCTTTGCAACATCTTCAACTGTGTATAACAATAACAGGTATACTAACATGTAATCTTTGCGTGATGGAAGTGTTAAGATATGAGAGTAAAGAACATGCCATCTTTCAGTCATGCCCCAGCTGAAGTGACCATCGAGACAATAAACTCCTTCCGTCAGTCTGGTCAGGACTGGTCACAGTTCAAGTACATCGTTGTAGCTGCCACACGTCACCAGTTCAAGGACATTCAAGACACGTTGAAGGCACTTAGGACTCCAATATGGAGGATCTACGAACGTGACGAAGGTTAGTAACACTTAGATTATAATCATGCCTGTGAACACAATAATATTTTTATCCTAATTTCTTTCAATCCCACTTCAAGGTTGTGAATTGCCATGAATAATATTATAGATATGAGTATATTTGATACAGAATCAGTTTACCTCTTTGCAAAACGTAAACTATAGTTCCCTGATGGTTCCTGATGGAAATTGATAGCAGTACATTTACTTCTGCTGAATGAAGCTAGATACATTACACAGAAAAAAAAGTAAATTGCTGCATATTTGTTTCAGTTGAAATCCCCACAGAAACTGTGAGTGTGGGGCTGATGGGCTACCCAAAGACAGGGAAAAGACTTCTTGCGAATGCAATTGCAGGTAAGAAACTGTTCGATGCTGGATTACAGAAACCCACAGCGGTATGTCAGGAGAAACGCGCAAGAATTGGTACCAGAGCAATTCAAATATTGGACACACCTGGATTTTCGTTCAAACAGAACATTCAGAGAACAGTCGATGTGGTGGTGACAAAGGCAAGTTCCATTGATGCCTTCTTGCTTGTCGTGAAGGCATCTCCAATGACATATAAGGATGAACTGCTCCTCAAACATGTCAGATCTATTCCGGGGAAGTCCATGTCACATAAAATAGTGCTCGTGCTTACAACATTAGATGATAACCTCATTTTGAAGGAATACCTAGAGAACATTCCTAATTTCCTGAAAGACTTCCTCCAGTTCTGCAACAACCCACCTGTGCTTTTCAATGTCAACATTGGGACACAGTCCGAGAAGGCAAATGATCAAAGACGAGAATTGTTTAGGATTATAGGAGAAACATACATGGGAAACCTGTGCAAGAGAATAAACTAAATGTGAACACGATTCGACAGAAAGTAACTGAAGCAATCTGTGAACTGTCACTCTTTACACACATATCATACATACCCATTGTTGTGTATGAATGAATATTGTATTTGTTTGTTTAGTGATACCGACACATAATGTTGAGGTGGCGACCCAGATACAGTGTGACCTACCTTATCAATGCGTACGTGTCCGTCCGTTAACCGTTTCAGGAGCAGGACTCTAAATCCATTAAAATTATTGTTGACACTTTCTATACACACCGGTCTAGTGGTGAACGTATACTTTTATACTTATCTGATATGTTTGTTTATTGCACAGACTAGTGTTAATTTTTTTATTTTGTTTTGGGCACATTACTGCGAAAGGCTCTACAATGCATTAAGCATGATTTTATGAACGCATCACGAGACGACTTGCCTACTCACAAGGTCAATATTGTTATTCTCACTTTTATTACAATCGTGTGGGTTTAAACGAAATAAATCAGTTATGTCTTATGATTGAAATGTTAGCTATTTTCTAACAGTTTGTGTCTATTGAACACATTTGACATGACATCTGTACCAAGTGTACCATGTTGCTTTAGTTGATCCGTTTTTCAGTTTTGTTCACATGTACCGCCTGTTTGTACCCCTGAAGATCCGGGGTAGAATAGGTCTTCAGCAACCCATGCTTGCTGTAAAAGGTGACTATGCTTCTCGTTAGAGGTGACTAAGGGGATCAGGTGATGAATGTCATCGATCCCAATTGCATGGATCGATGCTCATGATTTCAATCACTGGATTGTCTGGTGCAGACTCGATTATTTCCAGACTACAATCATATAGCTCGAATATTGCTGAGTGCAGCGTAAAACAACAAAACAACCTAACACCAGCCTTCTGTTTGCGTACTTGCAGTTTACATGTGTTAGCTAGGATTCAGTAAAAAACTTTGAAAATAATATTCTAAAATAAGTATTTTGAGCACAATGATATCGATGAGCTGAAGTAACCATCGCATATACAAATAAAATCAAACTGTACTAGTATCAGATGTAACATACATCATCTGATCTGAGTCTGTCACATACAAATCAGATTACTGGTAAATCAGTTGTATCCCATTCTAACACAACATAATTTATATGTACACATTAAGTCCACCATACATATTGTTTTCTCTTTCTCACAATATGATCAAGAGGCCAATGACGTCCCCAACGTGTAAATAAAGACATCTTCATTGATAGGGTTGTTTGTGATTTTTATTAATGCAGCTTAAGGTTTGGATATTTCTGAAAAATGAATTAATCGTCATCATAATTACACATGCTTTTGTCTGGAGAAAATGGCCCACCGTCATATAGCTGGAATATTGGTGAGTGCGGCGTTAAACAACAAACAAAGAAAACAAACAAACCAGAGAAAATGGAAGAGAAATGAATTACACATGTATTCTCAAGAATAAATGTCGTAAAGTTATATAATGTGACACCAGGTGTTAGAGAATCCGATAAGGCCTTGTTTATCAATGAGAACGATTAAGACGATTGTCACCATACAGTAGCATTAGCAAACACTGAGGTAGTGAGTGAGTGCGTGAGTGAGTTGGGTTTAACGCCGCTTTTAACAGTATTCCAGTTATATCGCGTCGTGTCAGGTAAATGTGGGAGGAAAGCCCGAAGTGATGCAGGTCTCTGACGTTTACCACTTCGGTGAAACCCACGAGCACGGATATGGTGCTGACAAACCTAGAAACATAATCGGGGCGAACCGGAATTCGAACCCACAATCACAGGTTTCTAGAGTGCCATAGGGACGCAACTCTGCACAGCGAATCGCGGCGCCTTAGACGACTGGGCCACCCGTGTCCCCAGTATGTTAGAGAAACGTATGAAAGCTTGTTTAGCTGTATATTTAGTGGGACAAGCGTGTTAACGCGGCGCCTTAGACGACTGGGCCACCCGTGCCCCCGGGACATTATAATGCCGTAAACATGAGATCACAGTTAGGTTAAAGTTTCACCCGATGTTACTTGATGTAAAGTTTGAGGAATACTCACCCCCACGACAGGACAATAATGGGCATGAAGTTATACATTCTCTTCATGCTATGCAATATGTTGGGGTAGAGAAAGAAGAGGGTTTGTTCATGCACAATGCTTGAGAGATATGCTGCTGTTATGCCGTCTATCGAAGTTCTTACCACCTTTCTGTTCTATAACTAAGACAAAATTGTTATGGATGAGCAACTTCTTTTTTACAATTGGGCGACATTTCGGCGTAGATTCTTACACCGTTATCAAGCAAATGATCATTTGCTCCGCCCAATTGTAATAAAGAAGCTGCTCATTCATAACAATTTTGTCTTAGTTACCATTACAACTTCTAAATGCCACTCAATCAATCAATCAATCTTTATTGTATGAAAGGCCATTGGCCCATATACACATACAGATAAACAATATTATTTACAGCTGTACAGCGCATTTTATAATTATTTGATAACTAATATGATGCTTGATATATAATAGAGGTATTGTAATAACAGTGATAATAACCACAGTGGCTGCAGTAGTAGTATAAAATACAACATGAATACAAAAGGAATTGAATGGAAATATGAAGTTTTACGTCGCAAAGGCTTTCAGCCATAGCGCGACGTTCAATACAAAAGGATCTATCAGAAATATACTCATCATGTCAGGACAATTTGGCAATTTCTAGTAGAAACAAACAGACAAAAATGAAATGTAGATACTCCTGATCTAGATGCGAAAGTTTCAAAACAACTAATTATTTCTGGACATATCGGATTTACTAAGTAGTTTACTACGCACTCGTAGACTTTGATAGATGTATTGTAATATCTTAGTTAATTTTTGAGTAGGGATACCATTAAAAGATAATATTTTGTTCATGGAATAGTGGTTCTTAGTTATATCAGGCATATATTTCAATCTTAGGTTGTCGTAAATTGGACATATAAACAAAAAGTGTAATTCGTTTTCAACTTCTAAATGCCACTCAAAGAATGTTCTATAACTCACAAACCATAGACCCGTGAAGATCCGGTGTAGAATAGGTCTTCAGCAACACATGCTTGCCGTAAAAGGCGACTATGCTTGTCGTACGAGGCGACTAACGGGATCGGGTGGTCAGGCTCGCTGACTTGGTTGATGCCTCTCATCGTATCCCAATTGCGTGGATCAATGCTCATGATGTCAATCACTGGATTGTCTGGTTCAGACTCTATTATTGACAGACCGCCGTCATATAGCTTGAATATTGCTGAGTGCGGCGTTAAACAATATACAAACAAACAAACAAACAACACAAACCATACATTCAATCAACAGTGAGTGAGTGAGTGAGTTAGGTTTAACACCACTTTTAACAGTATTCCAGTTATATCACGGCGTGTCAGCTTAATGTGGGAATAAAGCCCGAAGTGATGCAGGTCTTAGACGTTTACCATTTCGGTGAACCCCACGAGCATGGGTATGGTGCTGACAAACCTAAACATAATCGGGGCGAACCGGCATTCGAACCCACAATCATAGGTTTCTTGCGTGCCCAAGGGACGCAACTCTGCACAGCGAATCGCGGCGCCTTATACGACTGGGCCACCCGTGCCCCTTTCATTCAATTAACAATTTCATATGTCATAACCTATGCTTGATCAGTTGTTTAAAATTGCTGACGTGTTTGTGTACGTCATCATTTCCCTATTATGGAGACCTATGCTCCTAATATCAACCAGTGCGCGTTCAACGGCTAAAGTTATGTGGTTAAACTTGGAAAAGCCGTGACGAGACTGACAGGAGTCAATTGTCCCAATGTTCACTTCATTTTGATTGAAAGTATGTTATTTACACTCCCCGTGCTAACGGTTCCATCACACACAGATTATATATCATAATACGTGACATCAATATAGATATATAAGGCCAATACCCGTGAAGATGCGGGTTAGAATTGGACTTCGGCAACCCATGTTTGCCATAAGCGGCGACTCTGCTTGTCGTAAGAGGCGACTAACGTGATCTGGTGGTCAGGCTCGCTACCTTGGTTGATGCATGTAATCGTATCCCAATTATGCAGACCGATGCTCATGATGTCAGTCACTCGATACCGCCGTCGTATAGCTGGAATATTTCTGAGTGCGGCGTTAAACAAACACACAAAGAAACAACTCCAGGGAGTGAGTGTGAGTGAGTTTGGTTTTACGCCGCTTTTAGCAATATTCCAGCAATATCAGGGTGGGGAACACCAGAAATGGGCTTCACACGTTGTACCCATGTCGGGAATCGAACCCGGGTCTTCGGCGTGACGAGCGAACGCTTTAACCACTAGGCTACCCGACCGCCCCTAACTCCAGGGAGTACAGACAGACCCACAGTTCGCTGAACGCAGGTTCATGCCTGAGAAATGTCAGGAATATTTGTGCATTCGTTCTGATTACTTGTATATTTCTAGATTTATCAGCACCATTCCTTAACTTCTCAGACCTACAAGACACCGGTTTTGCCTCCCACATCAAAGAAACACGCCGTGATATTGGAGAAATAGGTTTCGTAGCGACGTCAAACGCATTTCAGTCATTCACTCACTCACTTTAGCTCCATTTGAAGTGAACTAAACTTAGTTATTCTAATACCGCGTTACATGTACCAACGAACTAAGAAGGCCAGTGCAATGGAGTGTTGTCCACCATCTCTCCGCCATCCATCTCTTAACTGTTGACTTTCTTCGGAACGGGGCGGTCGGGTAGCCTAGTGTTTAAAGCGTTCGCTCGTCACGCCGAAGACCCGGGTTTGATTCCCGACATGGGCACAATGTGTGAAGCCCATTTCTGGTGTCCCCCGCCGTGATATTGCTGGAATATTGCTAAAAGCGGCGTAAAACCATACTCACTCACTCTTCAGAACCTACTGCAGGAATTGGCATGACAACTTTAGTTGGATATAATTATGTCACCATAATAAGACATACACGAAAAAAGATAAACATTCAAAATACAAAGTGCTACTCTATCTAACCTTAAATTTTTTTTATTATCTTCTTCTCGGACACGCCAGGATTAAGATACTTTATACTTAAAGATGATTTTGTAGGACAATTATGTGACTTGGATTTGCCATGGTATTGATTTATAGAAAAACAAACATCTGACAGGTTGAGTGAGTGAGTGAGTGAGTATGATTTTACGCCGCTTTTAGCAATATTCCAGCAATAAACGGCTTAGGACAACAGAAATGGGCTTCACACATTGTACCTATGTCGGGATTCAAACCCGGGTTTTCGGCGTGACGAACCAACGCTTTAACCACTCTGCTCCCCGACCACCCCTCTGACTGGTTGAAGAACTGAGTTGATATTACCGGCATATGTAGATTAATTATGGTGTTCAGAGATATTTATGATAATTAATATTAGCATTTATTGTTTTTTTTCTGAAAAATGAATTATGTTTTTGTGAAGATTATGATGATAATTGTTTTAGCCGTTTCCATCTTACCTGATCGTTAGACATTGTTGATGATGTTACGACATTTGGGTGTCGGTCTCAGTGACTTCACTAATTACGTGAGAAGGTTGTTCATAAGTCAGTCACTGGTTTTCTGCCCCAGTTTTCATTGTTTACAGGCCGTCGTTTAATAGGTAGACTATAGCTGGCTACACAACAAACAGATATACTGTCGTCTCTCATCAGACAGACGTCATTAACAGTTACATTGTTTTTGGAATATGTGTTTCTGGTCAACGATGAATGACAAACGTTGTGGTTTCAATTGATCGTATGTTGTTTGAAAATGTTATTAAGTATAAAAAACACATCGCTTAGAGTTATCTTTGCCTAGTGCTGTTGTAGAAGTTCATAACGGCTGAAATGAAAATATTCCTTATTCATAAAAAGAGTGGCGTCTAAATGGTGAATATGGCACCATTTGTGGAACCTACTTCATTTCGAAATAGCTGTATCATGATAAATAGCAATTAGTAATGCAATTAATAGCAATTTTACTATAATAAGATTGAGAAAAGACTACCTCGCCTAATTAACACACCAATAAAAACCCAAACAACATCCTCAATTTTTAATAGTTTAATATATCGCCTTGCATGTAGGTTAGTGGAATGGCGTTTTATTTGCAAATGTGCTGGACATGCGACAGCAGTGCAACTCGTTATCTATCACAGTCGTCTGTTATTGGAACACTTCATCATCGTTGTTGGCATTGATGGATTTCCCATAGTCTCTCAATTCTGTATAGTGAATGTCTTTGAAGCAGGAAGGCGGTGAGATCAATTGCAGGTCTTCCTGTATAACCATGTCCAGGTCCATCCCCATTTCCTGAGGATTATACACCACCAGTGTAGCATCTGGGAGTGGGCAGCTATGGGTGGAACTGGCGTCACATCTAAGATGAACCCAAAGATCGGAGGATTTACAATGCTATTCAAGTCTTTGTAGATAATCTGGTATGCTGGAAACATGTTCAGTTTAATGCATAAGTTAGGTGAAGTGCATAGGTGAAGTGGGAATTATGGAGTAAATGAGTTGGATTTAACGCCGCTTTTAACAGTATTCCAGTTATATCACGGCTTGTCAGCTTAATGTGGGAGGAAAGCCCGAAGTGATGCAGGTCTCAGACGTTTACCACTTCGGTGAAACCCACGAGCACGGGTATGGTGCTGACAAACCTAGAAACATAATCGGGGCGAACCGGGATTCGAACCCACAACCATAGGTTTCTGGCGTGCCCAAGGGACGGAACTCTATACAGCGAATCGAAGCGCCTGAGACGACTGGGCCACCCGTGCCCCCTGAAGTTGGAATTAACGTGGGATGTTTCTAATAAACAAATCACTAACATTAACAATCTATCTTTTCCTTGTGAGACGAAGTCTGATCCCAGACTCTGTTATATTTACAAACTAAACGATTTGGGCTATAAAACTGCTATGTTAACAACAACTAAGAGCGACAATATTTCACCATAATCACAACAAAGCTCTTTGTTTATGAATCACTATCCGATATTGATCTGTTCAAGGTGTTGGAAAAAAAGGTGAGCGTATATATCCCCATGCGGTGAGACCGTCACAAACACATGCAAAGGAAAGTCAATTGTTCAGTTTTAAAAAACACGGGAACATGTGGTATAGGTAATTTTATCGGACGTATTTTTTCATTGATGTGTAAAAATTGGAAACGTCCTCCACTTGTCTGCCATACATGTTTTGAAAGCTTTGATTATTGTAACCTTGATCAAACAACTTTTACAATCTCTACTGAAAGAGCATGCTCGATTGTACCTTAAACGTTGTGAAATGTTGACTGCAAAGGCTGGAGCCTTCGAATACTGTTTGACACAAAGGGAAAGTTAACTGTAAGTTGACGTCATCCATCTTGTCAAACAGTCATGTGCAGAATTTGTATCACTCAGTCTTTCTGAATAGATCTAAATATGAAACAGATGAGGCAGTTTCACTTGTCTCTTCTATTTCTAGTTCAGGTGGGTAAATCAGTGGAAGTGAATTTGCTATTTGACTGTTGGTGAACGATCATCGTCATATCTGAAGATTAATTTACATTTCTTGGCCAAACTCATCTTCCTCAGCAAGAGAAGAGCACAGTTGTCATCCCCAAATTGGACTTAGATGTTATCAATGAGAAAGTTCAACATTTCACATACTGTTTTGTCAGTAAACTTTAGATTTTCATTTGCTTTCTTGTATGACAAATGGTCCTGAACATCTGATATTGATGATACTAGATATATGGTCACCATGTTTAATAACGAATGCCCCATTGATCAAGCTATGAAGTTTTTTGTTAAGTTTGTCATCAGGGATAGTGGAGTACAAAGTTGAAAAATCAAAAGTTTTGACACGTTTAAACTTGTTGTTTTTTGCTCTGCTAACATTAACGTAAATCCTTTGAATGTTGAGAATCCACATGGTATTGATGCCACATACCTCAAATATGTTATGTGAATATTAAGAAAGTCCTTCCTTGATTGTATTAAGTATTATTACAGACAGGTATTTGGTGGAACAACTGGAACCAGCAACATTTCTCTCTTTGTATGGGTATTTATTGGGCTTTTGCATCCTGTACGAAATGCACATGCATTTCAAGTCAAAGGTTGATAATAGTGATGGGTGGTTTGGGCACTTCTTCCTCAGTTGACTTATTAGCCTCATAGCCTAATTTTACTATGTGGCACTTATGCCGAGTTCCTTGATCAAACAACACATGTAGGATGCTTACATATAATGGTAATGTTATGTGAGACCTTGTCGATGGAAACAACTACAAACTTTTCACGTAGGGCAGCCGGACTTGAGACAGCTGGCTGGGACAGAACAAGTTTATTCTATTTATGTTCCTTCATTTTCAGTTTGTACATTCAACCAATGACAACACCACGCACTGACTTAACCCACTCCGAAAGACACTTAACAAGTTATTTTCTCTTTGGGCTCATTAATGGGCTACTAAACTAAGGATCCTAAACTGTGATTATCTTTGAAGAGCGTGACGGCCTGTTACGTTTGTTTGGGGCAGATATATGTATGGAGACACAATAACAAGAGCAGTGATAACGAAGAATGCATCACAATCAATTGGGATTCGAAGCCACGTTTATACATATAGGTTTCTGACAAGACTGAGGGACGTACCTTTGCTCGACGAATGACGCCGCGACCTGTTACCCCCAGGGGCCTGTTCCCTTAGTTTTCTTACCTCGCGGCGGTGAGAAAGCAGCTCTTGTTTGCTGTATCATGGCACTTGTGATCAGTCCGACACAAGACAGAACAATGAGGAAACCTAGAACCGATTTCATGTTTCAAGGATGTGTTACAGCTACCACTGCTACAGCCACCTGTGCTGGGTGTTGCGCGAATCTGACTTTAAGTACCCGCCCTATGTGTCAGTCCGATCAATCTATTTATACCCGTATTGTGCGCACATCGTATTATCTTCTGTGTCTGAATTATTAATAGATCGTGTAGGCAGTGGAGCATACCTAGTTACAACACAGTACGCAATTTACTACTAAATGAAGGTACAAAGTGATATTTTTCCTTTTTGTAAAACATGAGAAACATGTGTTGTTAATTATTTGATAACTAAGTATGGCAGGACCATCTCGCGATGCGTCCAACCTCTAGCACAAACGCTCAACTAAGATATGCATGTTCGAAGACTTTCTATTCAAGTTAAGCGCTAAATAGATTCATGGTCAGAAATAGGGAGTATCAGGGATTCACTGCACCTATTTATGTGTGGTTAAACAATTCTGTTTTAATCAAAACTTCAACACCAGAGTAATCAGTAAATAATAAAAGACAAAATAGTGGTGAAAATGATGACACCAGGTTAACTGTAGATGTGAAATACCCATAGTTGCAGTTGAATGTCATCTGTCACCATACCTGTTCATGTACAAAGAGGTTTCATAATCACACTGCCACATCAGAAGATTACCTTGAGTAGCGGCGACCTTGGTGGCAAGATGCTACACTAATATTACGACAATACCTGTCGTTACTGAGGAGAATCTATTCTGAATGAGGGTCGCGAGTAGCTGCGTCGACGTCGTCTTAGGCACCACAATTTGCCATGCGGAGTTGAGTCCCTGGCATCCTATCATCATATAGTAGAGTGTGGAGTGTTGCATTTGTCCTGCATTTGATTGAAAGATTGAAATATTGAAAATTAACAATTTAAGAAAGCCCTGTTACATAAGATAACATAGAAAGTCAGGGCCCCGTTCCACAAAGTGATCTTAGCGCTAAGATGATCGTAAGCCTATGTTAAAGCATGGGACTTACGATCACCTCAGTGCTAAGATCGCTTTGTGGAACGGGGCCCAGGTGTGTTTTTATATTTCAATTTTCTTGTGACAACTGAATTGAAACGAAATCGTGGTTTCAGTTAATATTGATGTTGGGAGTCGTTGGTTTTTACTTCCTGGTACACACCGGTCTATATCAATTATCACTAAAAAAGAGAACACATACGCACCAGCAAACCTTTTCAAAATAATAGGGCAGCCCGACTTGAGATGACAGTCTGGCAGGCAGAACAAGTTTATTCTATTTATGTTCCTTCTTTGGGCGTGAGTGTGTGTGCGTGTGTGTGTGTCGGGGCGTGTGTGGGGGGGAATGCGTGTGCGTGTGTGTGTATGGGTGTGTGTGTGTGTGTGTGTGTGGGGGGGGGGGGGGGGGGGGGGCGTGTGTGTGTGTGTGGGGGGGGGGGTGTTTGGTACCAGTCTGGACTAATGCCGTACTATTACCACTGAGATACCATGCCGCAGTCAACATGGATACCCTACTCAGACACAGTATACTGATTTCGAGCCGTCCAATCCCTGTCATGGCCTCTAAATGCCAAGCGCTAGGCAGAGTAACAAGAAGTAATGTTTTAACGTCTTTGGCATGACGCTGGAACCACCGACCTTCCGCTCAGCGGGCAGAAGTTTTATACACTACACCATGGAGGCATATGTTCAGTCAGGAGCTCCCCTTGTGTGTATCTTTGCTTGCCTCAGTTGCAACACAGTGTGCAATTTACTGTCAAATGAAGGTACAAAATGATATTTTTACATTTTTGTAAGACACAAGAAACATTATTTGAAAACTAAGTTTGGTATGACCATCTCGCTCTGCGTCCAACCTCTGGCACAAACTCTCAACTAAGATCTGCACATGATAACGTGGTTGAACATGACAAGATGCACGTGCTGAAATCCGCGAAATAATGATCCAAGTAGACGTTGTGCGTTTTAACGCTACATTCCATGTTCGAAGACTCTCCTATACAAGTTTAGCGCTAAATGGATTCCTGGTCAGAATTAGGTTGGTTGGTTGGTTTGTTGTTTAACGCCGCACTCAGTAATATTCCAGCTATATGACGGCGGTCTGTAAATAATCGAGTCTTGACCAGACAATCCAGTGATTGATATCATGAGCATCGATCCACGCAATTGGGATCGATGACATGTGTCATCCAAGTTAGCGAGCCAGACCACCCGATCCCGTTAGTCGCCTTTTACGACCAGCATTGGTTGCTGAAGACCTATTCTACCCCGGAATCTTCACGGGTCAGTCAGAATTAGGGCGCATCAGGTGTTCACTGCGCCTATTTATGTATGGTAAAGATTTCTCTGTTTTTAAATCAAAACTGTAACATCAAAACATAATCAGCAAAAAATAAAAGATAAGATAGTGGTGAAAATGATGACACCAGGTTAACTGTTCATGTACAAAGATGTTGCATAGTCACAATGCCACATCAGAGGATTACCTGGAGTGGCGACGACCTTGGTGGTATTGTGAGTGAGTTTGGTTTAACGCCGTTTCAACAGTATTCCGGTTATATCACGGCGTGTCAGCTTAATATGCTATTAAAACACATCTGTGACGTCATTCCATTGTTTGAACGCTCCATTATTTTTCAGGAATGGAGAGTTGCTTGTCAACTGTACATTATTTTGAAGCAACATTTGAATTAATTTCAACTTGGAACAGACGAAACTATTTTTTTACAAGTGAATATTTTCATTTTTTCCGAAAACATCTGTCGCCAGCGGGGTTCGAACCCGCATCGATAGATTTGAAAACGTGTAATTGTCAACCTCAGCTACTGCGGCACATGAAGGAATGATGTGAAATTAACTATTAAATATTTTCACAATTTTGCATAATGCTTAAAAGCTCAAAATAATATGTATATATTTTGTGTTAGAGCACGTTACCCACAACAATGTTCATATTTATAGATAGTTAGATAAACCTTTGACAAGAAAAAACAAAATAGGTAGCATAAATATCGCTTGTTCGGGACTCTATATTTCCAATTATACCCATCAGCATGTATTAACAATGTGCAAGCGATTGATAAATACTAGTTTAGGACCCAAAAAAATTATGAAGAGCAGTGTACCATGCATTGTAAATGTCAACTCGCCACGGAGCTTGGCGCACGTGCAACAGCGGCAAAGAACGCATTCCTCGTGCATCACGCAAGGTCGACTCACGCAGTATAAATACGGACAACAAAGAGTTCTGGTTTATTTTTCAAATATTTTCAACTGCAGAATATTTTGTCAAAGTGTAAAAGTAGGGATGAGTTTTAAGTAGGGGAATATCCTCGTAACTCTCCATTTCTTACAACTAATGGGCCTCTGCTCCATTATTTGTAAGGAATGGAGAGTTACTCGGACATTCCCCTCTACGGAAAGCCCGATGTGATGCAGATCTCAGACGTTTACCACTTCGGTGAAAACCACGAGCACGGGTATGGTGCTGACAAACCTAGAAACATAATCGGGACGAACCAACAATCATAGGTTTCTGGCGTGCCCAAGGGACGCAACTCTGCACAGCGAATCGCGGAGCCTTAGACGACTGGGCCACCCGTGTCCCCAATATAACAAAGCCCTGTAACACATGATAACATAGGAAGACGGGTGTTTTCTTAGTTCTTGTGACAACTAACTTGAAAGGGAATCGTGGTTACAGTTAATATGGGTGTTGGGCGTCGTTGGTTTTGACTTCCTGGTACACACCAGTCCATATCAATTATCACTAAAAAAGAGAACATATGCGCTACAGCAAACCTTTTCAAAACAACAAAGCAACTCAATTTCAGTGCAATATTCCCAAAGGGGTATCAAATGAAACATTTCTAAGAATATCGTGTATATTTCACAGGAGAGGTGGAGTAGAAGGTAAGACAGACAGACAGATAACAGAATATCGATATTTCCATATTTTTTCTGCAGCAAATATTGGATTACTGGACACATTATGGCTCATTTAATGTGAGTGAGTGAGTGAGTTGGGTTTTACGCCGCTTTTAACAGTATTCAAGTTATATCGTGGCGTGTCAGCTTAATGTGGGAGGAAAGCCCGAAGTGATGCAGGTCTTAGGCGTTTACCACTTCGGTGAAACCCACGAGCTCGGGTATGATGCTGACAAACCTTAGAACATAATCGGGGCGAACCGGGATTCGAACCCACAATCATAGGTTTCTGGCGTATCCAAGGGACGCAACTCTGCACCGCGAATCGCGGCGCCTTAGACGAATGGGCCACCCGTGCCCCCGGCTCAATTAATGGCAACGTGACATGTATTTCACACAAAAAATGCATAAATCTGTGAGTGAGTGAGTGAGTGAGTGAGTGAGTATGGTTTTACGCCGCTTTTAGCAATATTCCAGCAATATCACGGCTACCCGACCGCCCCATAAATATGTGTGGTAAACATAGGAAAGTGGTTCAGTAGTCATAATGAAATGTTTAGGTTTTCAAATACTGTAAACTACGGTGATAACGACCTTAAAGGGACCACTAATATTAGTTCGTTATAATCGTAATGCTTTATACTAGGCATATATATAGCACGCATACAACAAATGGCCGGGTCTAAAAAACAGTTCGTTATATCTGTCAGTTTGTTATAAGCGTGTTCGTTATAAACGTATTTTACTGTAACAGGAAGCTCGTCATTTTTGCAACAAATAATGAATCTCCAATGTATGTCATTAGGACGAAGAGGCTGATCTTAACACAAGCGTGTGTACAACCATAACGTCATTACGAAACGAGTCTTAGAATGCCTACATACCGTGATACACTTCGCGGGACATCTGGGCAAAGCGAAAGCTGTATCTGACTTTCCTCTAGGATGTATGTGTATTATGCTTTACCCAACCGAAACTTTCAGATGACTCAGATAATATTTTCCATTATCATACTACGCCGACATATCACAATAACACAGAGCAAGTAAAACTCGTTATTTGAATGTTTGTCCTGAGTCGTATGAAGCTGATCTCAAATAGAAACGTAATGATTAGGCACACATAATAATCCCCCAAAGGACATAATGTTAGTGCATTATGAGTGAACTTGTACAGCCAGGGTGCCAACCCAGTACACCCACTTCATGACATGTGTAA